CTTGACTTCAGCCCTCTCTCTTTTGAACAGCATCATTTAAAAATGGCTCTTGAAATGCATTCCTGCCATGAGGAGCCTGAGCAACTCTCCTGGAGAAACGGTTGAACTATCCTGCCCGTGTGAATCAGACCATTTGTTTTGCTGAGGAGTTATAAAAAGATGATTCACTCATATGAGACACTTTCCAGCAACTAGTCCTTAAGTCTGTAGACGTGTGAGTTAACAACATCAAGCCCTGCAGAAGGGGTATCAACAGTAACTCCAGCTCCAGTTTTGGCTTTCCTTTCTCTGTTCTGTCCAAGTTCCACACCAACTTCTGTGGACTTTAATTGAACTGGAGTGGATAACCATCTCTGGAGAAGCAGCCCTTGGCATCAAATCTGGCCATCTCTGTTCTGATCCACATCTCAGCTGTGCTCTACATTGGCATCATCAAGGGGGACACTGGCAAGAGCAGCAGGTTGTAATCTCTTTTTGGTCTCTCCGGAGCCTCTTAGAAAACCTCTGACTGTTCCCTGTCCTCCTGTTTGTGTTTACATTGTCCCACCTGGAGCTCCATCAAGTCAAGGCATCATTGCACCAAAAGGAGGAAGTCTGATGGGAGCACCCTGGTGGCATCTACAGTCTTCCCTTTATCTTCCATGTTGTCCACTGGACAGATAGTTTGCCACGTGCTTTTTTACTCTTCCCATTTCTTTCACTTATCCCCTTTCCTGCCTCTCCCTCTGCCTCACCAGACAAGGTGAGGAGGTAGCGGGATCGCTGCCCGCATTCTCCACCAAGTCCAGGTGGACTGCCAATATTCTGGAATATTTGTAAACTTTGAGCATTAACAATTAAACTCCCAGTGCCCCACATGACGTTATGTGATGTGGAATATCGAAAACCAAAAATCACAAAACCATGACAGGGGTTTTGTTAAACAAAGAAATCAGTCAGAAGAATGCTGCCGTTCCCATTGCCTGTGTTGGATCTGGAGGTCACTTAGAGGCTAGCGTTCTCTGTGGATAAGGTGGGGATGCAGATGAGAAATAGCAAGGAGCCCTGTGAATTTAGCAGCTGCCCTGCAGGCATGTTGGACTACACTTTCCTCAGAGCATAAAGACTATAAACCATAGCAACAAAACTGCATGATTGCAATCTCTGCCTGAGCATAATTTTTCCACCCCTGCAGTTTTGACTGGGGGAAGCAATGCACTACCTGGCAGGGTGGAAGGTGCCTGTATATCAGCTGCTGTGCAGTCCTAGCACTAGACACAGTGCCCTGGTTTTTCTTCACAGTTGTTTTCTTTTAAGCTTTCAGGGTTGGAGAAGCTGATTAAGCTTGAGTCCCTCAATATTGAATGCATCCTGATAACATACGTTCCTATCTCAGAGACACAATGGGTTTTCCTCACAGCCTTGCCTATGCTTGGGCTGCATAACAAAATTTGTTTAAAATCCACTTTCTTTTTGAATATTTTTCCTCTCACTTTAGTTATGACTCAAAAATGTTAGTTTGCTGAATATATTTTTCCTTAGTCACACGGGACCATTCCAGATGGGCCGTTCCACTCTCTGCACTACTTTCACTCTTTCTATACAAGGCATTAAGAAAAGTGCACCCTGATGCTGGTTCTCTGATGTGAAGAGGGAGTGATCATTATACAGTTATTATAATATTTAGAGGTAATTTTCACAAGTTATCATCATTTTGGGCGTATCTAAAGACCAAAGCAATAGCCAATGGTCCTCTTTAAATAATGGGCTCTTTAAATGTACCCAGATGTCCCTTTTCAGCCTCAGCCATTCTGCGATTCTGTGATAACCTTTAGAATCAGTGAAATGTAGAATGCCTTGGGTTGGAAGGGGCCTTAAAGATAATCCAGTTCCAAATCCTTTGCTGAGGGCAGGGTTGTCATCCACCAGATCAGGCTCCTCAGAAGCCTCTGATGGGGGCCAGCATATGCAAGCTCCCATTTCTCCAAGGGTTTTAACTTCCAGCTCTAAGACATACAACTCCTCTGCTTGTATTTAACTTGCCCTTTACCCTTAAACTTTGCCATGGCTGGGCTTGAACATATGGCCTCCTTGTAAACTACCTTGAACCTGACCAAGGCATTTCAACAAAAAGACTGCTTCTCTGCTGAACTGAAGGAACAGAAATCCTGTGTGAATGGAGTTAATACTTACTCAAATGTATACTCAAAGCGTTATAATAGGCATGACACACAACTAAGACTCAGGGTTTCACAGAAAAGCAGAATATCACAATTGTTGAATCAGAAAATGTATTTGCCCTGCAGCAAAAAGAAAAGGCCCAAGAAAATAGGCTAAGTCTGAAAACTGTAAACATTACTCCCTGAAAGATAGAAGAACAGTTACATAAGAAATAAACAATTGAGAAATGACTACCTCACTTCAAAAGAAAATCCAACCTATACAGAGCAAGACATCAAAGCTGCCAGTTGTGCTGAAAACCATGCTCTTTGGTGGAAAAGATGTACAAACCAGAACTCCCTTATGCTGAGAAAGAAAACAGTATCCACTACGCTTTGGGTGAGTGTAGAAAGAACATTAAGCGATAATGAGTTGCTTACAGGAATGGCAAACAGAAGCAGAAGATGGAAGTGCTGGAAAGGTGGTAGCTAGCACATACCAGCCTGCTGCAGAGGCTCCTCACAAGAATGTGTGTAAAGAACAGGTAAGAGATGTAGAAGACAGGTGCAAAACAAGAGGTAAGGTAAAGAGGCAATACCTTTAATTGCCAACAGCATCATGAGAAGCCATAAGAGCTGACAAACATCCCAATATGTATTAAAAGAATGGATTATAAAGGAAAATCAGTGTAAAGGAAGAGTTCAAATGTAAGTAATAAATGTAATCCTGAGTAATTTTAAGAGAAAAGGCTTTGGCAGTCACAGTTAAAGAAAAACTATAATAACATAATGGCCTTGGTAGGTCTTTTTGTTTAACTGGGAGATCTTCTGAAGAACAGCTTGAAAAGAAGCATACAGACCTAGGGATAGAACTGCTGATTTCACAAGTGTTCTATGAAGCTAATATAACTAAGAGGAGGAATCTAGGAGGAAGGTACAAAGTTTGAAGCAGTGGGGAAAGTAATGAAATGCTATCAGCACTTTAAGTACCAGTGGTTAACTATACAGCATATCAGTAGCTAAAGGCTGAACAGGTTGTTGGTTAAGGCTGCGTGTACAAAGATTTAAGGTCTGAGAACAGTGAATAATACAATATTATGATTTAGCCAGAAGAAATACTGAAGGAAAATCACATAGGTAAGTATTAGAGGATACTCATATCTCTTCAGTAACGATGCTTAACAAATACATTGTTTTGTTTCTAAGAATTAAGCCTATACAGGTACTCTTACAATTCATGAATTATATATAGTTAATTGCAAGGTGAGGCAAGGCGAAGCAAGGGAAGAGAAGGAAACAGCAAAATTGGTGTATAAATGTATCTGAATCAGTATTTAAGTATGTTAGCTGCTGATTACAACTAAAGTGTGAGGTTTGATACTCTACTTCAAAGAATGATGGAGATTTATGCAGAAACAAGTGACGGAAAATTATCCAGAAGGTGATTGAGTAAACTTCTTTGAAGAAAAATGTTCAAGCTTGTGGGACAAAGATTATTATTAACAATCATTGAACCACAGAGTTGCTTGAGTGGGAAGGGACCCTTAAAGGCCATGGGGTCTACCCTCCCTGCAATGAACAGGAGCACCCACAGCTCCAACAGGTGCTCAGAGCCCCATCCAGCCTGACCTTGAGCGTCTCCAAGGATGGGACATCCACCACCTCTCTGGACAGCCTGTTCCAATGCCTCACTACTCTTACTGTAAATTTTTTTTTTCCGTATATCCAGTCTAAATGTCCACTGTTTTAGTTTGGAACCGTTTCCCTTTGTCCTATTGCAACAGATGCTGCTGAGTCTGTCCCCTAATCTTGTGTTAATCTTAGTTCTCATGCGGTTAAGTTCTCTTCTCACTTGGTTAAGAACTGAGTAGGCAGTTAACGTCTGCTTGACAACATATGCAACTTTTGTATATGTATGTATACCTGTGTGTTTGTGCAAGCATGTACCTGCAAGCATTGGCCAAATGGGACCGGTCAGGAACAGACATCAGAAGAGGCTGGTTGAAGAGCTGTCTATTGGCAGCCCAGGGTAGCAGTTCCCTAGATACTCCTCTTGCAGCCTAACCTCCAGGGCTGTGGCTCGTCTTGCTTTTGGCAGCTCCTCTAACAGCATGCTGGTGGCTCCAACCGCCTTCAAGCAGCCAGGGCCAAGCAGGGCACATCCCTGGCTAAGTAAAGCAGGAAGCTGGACTTGCAGCAATCTATTTGGCTCTCAGATTTCACCAAAGCAAACAGAACCAGCTTGCCAGTTACCTTGACTTCAAGGGCCCCAGCAGAGGGCATTTGGGAAACTTCCAGAGAGAAGTGGGGGATCAGAGAGGAGACGTTGCCAGCAGCTTGCCTTCATGCTGGGAGGTGTTTATGTACAGAAAATCATCCAAAAGAAATTATAGGAGTAAACATGACAGTGTCAGCAGCACGGCACTAGCAGGACTTCCTCAGGGATTAATGCGTCCCAGTACCAAGAACGTATCTCCCTTTTTCTCATGTGTTCTGTTGATTCTGTGGTTGTCCACGTGTGCTTTATCTCCCTCAAAGCAGAGCTACTTGTGAAAGTGTTTTCTCTGCAAACTGCTTAGGCATATCTACCTGTAAAATGCAGATATATTTTACAAAAGGGTCTCTCCATTTTGCTTGTGGGGCACTTTGTGCACATCTTCATCTCCACCCTAATCCCCCTCCACTGAATATCTCCACCAGAGCCGGGAAGCACTCCTGACTAAAGATGAAGCTGTCTCACTTCACTAAGCATGTTGCTATTTCTAAGGTGTGACTCAGTGCTTTTCAGTTAGGTGTCATCATGTGCTATTTGCTGAGAAATAAAATCAACATTAATTAATTCTTCTCTCTTTTTTAATACAGGTTTTTGTTTCCTGCTCCAGATCACGGGTGACGTACACAAACAACAGAGTTCACAAGCAGCAGAGTTTGGGGAGGCTGATCCTGGCTGTGTTTGCAGACCCGCTTCTTGCAGTATAGGCTTCATGGTCACAGACAACCACGGTCCTGGTGAAAGAATGGAAAACCAAACAATAGGAGGAATCTAGGAGAAAGGGAGGGAAAGGTTATGTTCTTTGTTTATGGCAAAGGATGAGGGAAGTGTGAAACAAAACAAGGAGAAAAAGAACAGAGAAAGGATATAGAAAACCCATATGGGTGACCTAGTAGAAGTAAAGGAGCACAAAATTCTTCCTTTTGGTTGCAAACAGCATGGAAGACCTTCCATAGTACCTGCTCAGTGCTCAATCTCTTGTGCCCGTATCAACCAAGGGAATTATTCATTATTTTGTAGAGCACGTCCTTACTTTTCTTCTCTCTAGGTCAAAAAATGCCAAACCATAAACTTCTGGAGATGTTTATCCTTAGAAAGCGCTGCAGTGTTCTTTTACAATATATGAAATTGCAGTAATAAGAATAAATTATAGCACTCAGCATCGGACAGGATGACTGATGTAAGCTGTCAGCCAATGTTTGACTTTCCAGGTGAGATTAGATTTAGCATTTACCTTAATATAAACAGAAAGTGTGCAGTAGAAAGCACTTAATTAACAAGCAAGTGCTCAAAACCTTGTGCAAGCTGGAGGCTACTTGAAGCTTAAGATAGCTCTTCTCTTTCCAGAGTATCGCAGTATTATCCGGCGGAGTTTCAAAATCCTGATTGTTACTGGGAATCTCATTACTGAAGGAGACAGGAAAGGTAAGTTTCTGTTGCTAAGTCCTTATTTTTTATAAAAGAAAAATCTGATTTTGTTGTTGTTCTGAATGAAAGGAGAGCTGTTAGAGTTAGGGTAGTATGGTTAGGTCGTGGTTGGACTTGATGATCTTTAAGATCTCTTCCAACCTGAGTGATCCTATGATTCTATGAAAAGCATAGAGATTTTGCACAAAAAAGAAGTTTCAGGAGAGTTTGGGTTTCTGTTTTCTTATAGCTTGCTTCCTTTCGTTAGACTGCCTTTATCCCATATGTTTGAGCATGTGTGTATAATTGTACAGAGATCTACATGCACATGTACCTGTGTCCCTCTGTGTGTGCATACCTGTTCTGTGCATGCTGAAATCACAAAGCTATTCCAAGAAGCAAAGGAAGGTAGACCAATATGGATAGCACCCCTTCCTGGTTGAAGAACATTTTCTTTAGTCTTTATCTCAACAGGAAAATCAGTGTGCCTGGATGCCTGTAATATGGGTCAGGTAGGCCCAGACTCACTGAACTTCACTGAGGCATACTTGCCTTCCAAAGACTGAAAATGACCTGAGTAAGGAGTGGGACTTCTTCAGGTCTCTAAACATGTTGAAGCACTCTGATATAAGGATTCTCAGCTGTCTAAAATCAGCTTTGACACTTTCGCTAGTAGGTATTATTATTTAATCCTCATAATGCATACAAAACAAACCAATGTAATTGTTATAGTGTAGCTATTTGATTAAAATAAGTATGATGTTGTCTTTAGCAGCTGTAACTTGCAAGGATGGCTGAAATACGAAACTTCACGTGGGCAGTGGAAGATATTTTCAAGGAAACTTTTCTCACTTACATGAATGGCTGGAGGAAAAACATGACAGAAGCAGCAAATGAACTGCAAGCCAAGGTTGATGCTGAAAACTTTGACTATGTTATCCTTTATTTGATGGTGATGATTGGAATGTTCTCCTTCATTATTGTGGCGATTTTGGTGAGTACCGTGAAATCTAAGAGGCGAGAACACTCCAAAGACCCTTACCATCAGTACATCGTGGAGGACTGGGGTGAGAAGTATAAAAGCCAGGTTCTGAATCGAGAAGGTCTCAAGTGTGTGGTCCATGAAAACTTTGGTGCAAGGGACAAAACAAGCCCCGCGTCACCCTGACATTCCAGAAACATCAGCAAAGAGGAAATCATGAAGTCACATTTAGGGAACTCGCTGGAATTACAAATAGCTGAGAAATTGTTCATTAGATTTACACAGGTTGAGCTAGAATGGGCTGCTGAAGAAATCAACATCACTGTTTCCTCTGAGAACTCTGGCGCAGCTGCTTTGAGGAGCACCCAAGAAAAATGCATGACTTTGCTCTGCTTTGATATTCTGCTCTTCAGGAAAATAAAGTCATGGAGAGAATAACTTGAATTTTTTAGCAATTTTTTGAAATCGAGAAGCAGATCTGGATTACTGAGCAGTAAACTTCAGATGAACAGTAGGAGTTTTCAAGTGTTTAAAAGTCCTGATTCAGATCCCAATGTCTGACATAAACCCATCTTAAAATAACAGGAAACTGTACAATAAAATACCAGACCCTCTATCTATTGATTGAACAATGTGTTATGGTATGAATCACAGGACGAGCCTATATCTACACATGTTCAAGTCAATCCAAACTGCTATTTTAATGACCTGGCTCCCATTTAAATTTCATTATTCATTGGCTACAAAGAATGATTCATGGCCTTCTGTTTTATCATAAAAGCATAGCCAGACTAGCAGTCTCATCTAAGAGTATCCTGGTTGTCCAGAGCAGCTTCTAGAGTGTCAGTGTCTTTCTTGAAGTCCATAGCTGTCTCTTCAGCTGTTTCTTGGTTTTTCATATTGATCTGTTTATCTGCAATGCAAGCTGGGTGATAGGGATTTCTTGCATTCCTATTAGCCAAGGCCTAGTGTAGATCATCATGCTCCTGCTATATATCTTTCAGTGCAAGGGTTTCTATGACCAGCTATCAAAGCTATTCAACTGTTATGCTTTCTAATGTTTCCCATGTTGGGTACTGGTGTGCACCAGTCAGAAAACAGGTTGTAAAGATGGTTTATCTTCCCTGTGCTGCTAAAGTGTCATGGCTGGCTGTTGGGGAATAATTAGAAGCAAAGCCAGTACTACTTCTAGTATTAGAATGTGTTCCTTTTTACTCTAAGTTTATCTTCTATTCATATTACCAGACTTAAACTGCTTAAACTTGAAGTTCTCATTCTGGCTGTCGATTGTGTGGGCAAGAAGAAATGATGAAGAAAAGAGCTTATTTTTCTTGGAAGCTTTGGCTTGTTTTGGAGCCTGATCTTGTGGTATGGCATAACAGCTGTTGCTGTGCTCCAGAACATGCTCATGTTATGGCTCTGCTCCCCTCCAGGTGGAAGGACATTCCTTACTACTTACCTTTGATGACCACAGGCTGTAAGGGCACAGTTAATGGGCCCACTGAGCAGCTAGAGGGACTCTGGTGGCCATCTGGGCCACATGCTGTGCTTCAGCTGGGGAAAGAGCATCTTTTGACAGGGTATGGCAGCAGGGACAGCCACAGTGAACCTTAGCAGATGTGCCAACATCATGAACAGCTGCACCTGCTCAGGCTCTGCTCCCCACCAAAAGCGAAAGGCAGCTTCCATTGCTGGCTGTGCTCTGATCTGCATGTGGGCAGCTGTGACACTGAAATGGGAACAAGCACCTGAGTTGACTCTGCCCTTGAGACATGTGGGCAATGCCTTAGATCAGGCATGTCCAACCTGTGGCCCAACCCAGCCACCCCATGGCCCATGCCATCATGATGGCAGTTCTGGTACACGTTTTGACTACAACAGCAAGCTGTTCATTGCTGCTGAAAACACACAGTTAACGGGAGTGACTGTAACAGTATTTTGTAGCTGACAATTTACTGAACAGTGTTATTGTACTCTTTGTATCTGTTGTAGTTTCCCTGGAAATAAATTGGAGGCACTACTTTTGGAGCAGCCCAGATAACGTATATGCAGCTCACGACAACTCTATACTCAGTGCAGCCCAGGCAAGCCCAAAAGTTGGCCTAGTTCAGGTGAAAAGAGACAGCCCGCTTAACATACTGTCTTAGAATCATAGAATAGAACCCTAGAATCACTCAGGTTGGAAAAGAGCTTACAGATCATCAGTCCAACGACGACCTAACCATCCTACCCTAACTCTAACAGCCCTCCGCTAAATCATGTCCCTGAGCACCACATCCAAATGGTTTCTAAACACTTCCAGGGATGGTGACTCAACCACCTCCCTGGGGAGCCTATTCCAGTGCTTTACAACCCCTTCTGTAAAGAAGTTTTTCCTGATATCCAAACTAAACCTCCTGTGGCTGGAGGTTCCATGTCACATGGGGCGGTGCTGCCTTTGAAGCCGTGGTAGGGAACAGCTGAGGAAGTGAAGGCAAAGCTTTCCACGGGGAACTTCAGAAACTGAACAGCTCGCTAACAATGTACACACCTGAAGCACTCAGCACTATTTAACCAGCCAGCAACGCCGCCCTGGCGTTTCCCAGCAAGCCCGCTACCAGCACACCCAGCCCCGACCCGGGCAAGAGAAGAGGCTGCCCGGCCGAGCCGGATCGGGCGCTGCTGGGAGATGTAGTTCGCCATGCCTTCCCGCCCACAACAATGGCCGCCCGCTGAGGTAGGGAGACGCGCTGTTGAGCCTTTCCCCACCGCCCTTTCCCGCTTGGCTCCGAGGCGGACGGGCCGGCAGGGCCGAGTTGCGCGGCGGGCTGGCCGGGGCCCTACGGCGTGATGCGGTACCCCCCCCCGGCACGGCCCGCGCCGCCGCCGCCCCGCGGCCTGCCCGGCCCCGTGTGGGCCCTGGGGAGCGAGGGGAGCTGCCGGGGGGGCACCAGGAGCTGCCCAGCGCTTTTGCAGCCGGGGCTGGGGTGATGATGGTCGCCATCCGAGGTGGAGCCTGCGATGTGCTGTTTGTGTTCTAGTGTGTTGGGTCGGTCAGGGTTTTATCCGGGTGCCACCGCTGATGCTTCTGTCTGCTGTGTGCTTTGCTTTGACAGCATTTGGAACATGCGAGGAGCTGCCAGAGGAATTGTTAATATTTCTGTTGCAGCTTCAACAGATAGGTAGGCCTTACATATCTATGCTTCCATGTGCCTGGTGCTGGTGTTAGTAGTTTGGGAATGGTATGAACTGAGTGATTGCACAGGTCTTCCTACACAAGTAGGATGCAGAGCTGTTGGAGAGAGTCCAAGGAGAGCGCAAGGATGTTCAGAGGCCTGGAGTACCTCTTCTGTGAGGAAAGTATTAGGGAGTTGGGCTTGTTTAGCCTGGAGAAGAGAAGGCTCTGGGGAGATCTCATTGCAGCCTTCCAGTGAAGGGAGCTTCAGTGAAGGAAACAGGAGGGAGACTGACTTTTTACATGGCCTGATAGTGATAGGACAAGGGGGAATGGCTTTAAACTAAAAGAGAGGAGATTCAGGTAAGATGTCAGGGGGAAGTTCTTTCCTCAAAGGGTGGTGAAGTGCTGGCACAGCTGCCCAGAGAAGCTGTGGTGCCCCATCCCTGGAGGCGCTCAAGGCCAGGTTGGATGGGGTCCTGGGCAGCTTGAGCTGGTGGGGGCAGCCCTGCCCATGAAGGGTAGGCTTTGAGGTTCCTTCCACACCAAGTTTTTCTTTGTTTCTGTGGTGTTTTGGCTTATGGTCTCATGAAAGCTCTAAAGGTCTGACTTTTTTTGACTTAATATTACCATTGCATCCAATGGCAGTGGTTTGTGATGGATCTTAGCACAGCAGCTCTGGCTCACACATGCTGCAGCTGTGTTTCTCTGTAGTTTTTGGGCTGTGCCATATTACTGTTTTTTCCCTCTGTCCAGTAGTCATCTTCTTGAGGAAGAGGCATGATCATACCTTTGAGGTGCTAAGTGTTGCTACAGGTCAAGTGCAGAGGTAGATCTTCCAGTGACAGTCCAGGTGAGAAGTATGCATTTTGTTTCCTGAAAAATAAGCAGCAATATAAACAGGTGGAATTAAACCCCTTCTGTAGCTCAGAGAATATTCAGCCATCACTCCATTTAAATACCTTGGCAGCTTGCTGCTTTCCAAGGCCTTCCAGCAGGTTACTTTTATAGCGTCTCACAAGGCGGATAAGAAGTGCTTCAAAATCCCCAGTCAATAGAAAAATGTCTCAGGTCCCCTTCTGTAGGGTGGATGGAATTATTAATGGGTTGACTGAGAGTCTCAGCCAAGACAGCTTGAGTGGGATTGTGAGTTCTCAGTTGCCTGGTAGGAATTTCTTTGAGCATGCAGCCCAGTCAATATTCTGCTGCTGCGTAAGAAAACAATGGCGTTAGTAGCTGGGCTGTGATGTGGTTGCTGTGGTAGAGTACAGCTATAATTCAGTGGTTGAGAGACCTGGATTCAATTCTGTGCTTTGCCACTGACTGGGGCCCAGCTCTTCAGTCTGCACGGGGTGGTCTGTGTTGCACAATGTTGTGCAGAGATCTGGGGCTGGCACCATCTGAAAGCTAGCTCAGGGAATTGCTGCAGCCCTCCTTGGGAGCTCATTAGCCCTGGTGAGGACACAAGCCTCTAGGGCTGTGTTGTGACCCTGACAACCAGCTCTGGATCCAGCAGACCTCACAGCATCCAGAACTGACAGGATTGCTGATCCAGCACAGCACTAAGGTGCAGCACAGGCAAACTCTCTCCTCCCTTTTTCTTCTGCAGTAGTTTGATCTGCTTAATGGAGGTCTGAGTGTAAATAGGGTAGTGATAGTAAAGAAAGCCACAGATGTGTGAGAGTGATGTCATTTTATCCCTGCCCTGCATAGAAGCTTACAAGTGTGTGATGGATAGGGCATGACGTCTCTTACAGGGCTTCAGGCAGAGCCTAGTGCTCCTGCTTCTTTCTCACGTGGCTCAGCATGAGATCTTGTTTGAATGAAGGTAACAGTGACCTTCTGTGGGGCCCGCACTCTGCTGTTTGTTAAGGGAACTTGCATTTTCCTAAGGAACGAACAATGCCTGGCTGTGGATGTTTTGAACTCTTATCTTGGCCTTATCTGCCTCTGAAAAGGCAAACATGAAACTTCAGCTGCTTATTTGCCTGCTTGCTTTTAAGATATCACAACCTTGAAAGTACAGTGCACGAGCTTTTTACTTCTGAATTGGCAACATCAGCGCTAACAAGCATTGTTTTTCTGATGTGAAGTGAATCCTGCCATTTTTTTTCTCCTTGCCCCATGCAGCTCCACCCATTATTTTTTTTCTGTCATGGGATTTCAACTGCCTTCAATAAGGTCTGCATTGGAATGGAGACCAGAACACTCTAGAGGTGAAATTAAGAGAAGTGCTTGACTGCTGGAGGCTGGTGACGTTGGGTGTGGGAATACAGGGAGCAGCAGCTTCCACTTTTAGTTCCAGTCGTAGAAGTCTCTGTAAGGACAGATCATCAGAAGTATCAGCTCTCGCAGAAAGCATTTTGGACTGAAACGCTACAGTTGAGGAAAAAAGGAAGAATTTCCTTATTTGCTTTGTGACTTCAATACAGCTACTCCTAGCGGATGCAAATTCAGGCAGATTCATGCTTGTCTCTCAGCAGAGCAGAAATATTGAAGAAGCACTGTGCTGAATGTTTAGGTAATTGACTTGCAAACAAGCATTTGCAGGAGTGCATGCATTATATGCTGATTCTCACCCTGCAGTCAGACCTCAGATGGGCTCACATGGCATTTGCTCGGTCTGGAACTTTTTCTATACATAAAAATCTCTACGCTCCATTTTGAGCATCATATGCCAGATGCTAGCATGTTTTTGAATTCATGCCTCTTTATAGCATGTCACAAAACTGCTTCCAACTGAAGCACGGAATTTAGAGTAATTTAGGAGAAGAATGAAGACTGTATAGTGATGAAGCCCCCACCAAAGTCAGGATGAGGATACAAACCCCAGTTGGGCAGTTCAGTCCCTCCGTATCAGGCCAGGGTTGTATAACTTGGATTTTGCTGAGAAGTACATGGTTTAGTGGGTGTGGTGGCGATAGGTTGACAGTTAAACTAGATGATCTTAGTGGTCTTTTCCAGCCTTAATGATTCTGTGATGACTGTACACCAAAAACCACCTCTGATAGGTGATATTGGCTGTGCCCATCTGGCAGGGGTATTTACACTGTAATGTTTGCCGAAACATCAGAAGTTATAATGCCTTTCTGGGGGGGATGTGAAACACTACTGACTTGTTACTTCACAGCTACCCAGGCATTTTATCAACAGGAGAAGGGAGCTACACAACTAAGGATCAACACAGTAAATACTGGATGATGAGTTGGCTGCATCATTGCTTAGATACAGTTAGATCTTGCTAGCAGCAGCTGACCTCACAGGTTCTGCTGTTCCTGAATCTGTTCCAGTAGGATATAATCCTGGAACATCCCCGGTGTGTGCAGAGCCATGTAGTATTAAACAAGCTGCCATCTCCACCCTGGCTAATACTCCTGTCAGGGCTTCTTTGGGAGGATGGGTCTATGGATAGACAGGAGAGCTTCCCTGAGCAGTTAAGGATGACCAGCTCTCATGCTGGTGCTGGGCCAAGAGAGCCCTGCTGCTGTCATCTTAGCCACGTGCAGTAGCTTGGGCCAGGGGTATGTGTCCTGTGCTCACTATGTCTGCATTCTGGACATGACAAACACTGGAAGGTGTTTTCTTCTCCTTTCTCTCTGCAGGCAATCCGTTGTTTTTTGTGATCAGAACTTACACTCCTTGCTCAGTGGGTCAGTTGAGTTAAGTAACTTACATGGGATAAGTGGGAAAAAGGAAAGCATGCCATTTTCAGCCCAGGCAAAGGCAAGGGGTGAAGCACAGGAGCACTGGGAAAGCAGGAGAGCACACCATGCATGGAATCAGTCTGTTCTGACAGACCCTCCCAGTCTCTGCTTGGGGTCTCCTGTGGTGTCCCCCCATGGCAATCCCTTAGGTGGAGAAATGTGGTTAGCTGTGAAGAAGCCATCTGAGCAGCTCAGGAGCAGCAGGAACATTTATTTGAGTCTCTGTTTTTGTTACGAAGACAAGCCACAAACAGCTGTTGTGGTATGGTGGTGATTTGTTCCGCCCAGCTGCCAGTAAAGGTTTGGACTAAACTGTTGGCCTTCTTCCTTCTCTCCAGCAGTCACTCTGTTGTTACACCTACGGGAGATTCGCCGAGGCAGTCAGGCAGGAAAGTGCCGAGTTTGAAATCCAGCAGTTGAAACAGTGTCAGCACTGGTGGAGCAGCAGCACAGACCAAAGGGCAGCATTGCGGCTGTGTGCTTCAGCTGTCAGTATCCCTTGAGCATTTCCAAGTCCCAAAATTTAGTTCTGAAATGTATATTGGCCACCTGTGGGATCTGTGGCTTGGTTGGTTCGCTTAGGTGTTACGGGCTGTATAGAAAAATTAGTGTGTTAGCAAATGAGAGAAAACTGATGCAAATGATGCTGTGTCATAGAATCTCAAAAGGGTTTGGATTAGAAGGGACCTCAGAGCCTACCCAGCCTCAACCCCAGCCCTGGGCAGGGCTGCCCCCCCACTAGCTCAGGCTGCCCAGGGCACCATCCAACCTGGTCTTCAGAGCCTCCAGCGATGGGGAGGATCCATTAGGCATTCAGGCTTTGAACAGGGCAGATAGGCTTGAAATCCACAAGATGGCACTTCTGGGTGCTATTTGTCCACTACATTTGAGATGTCTTGAGTGAGGCAGCTTGGTGTGCACACGTGCCTTTGAAAGCAGCCAGTGCTTCATTTTTGATTGGGCAGCTGCTGAGATCTGCTATGCACAGTGAAAGCACAGCCTCCCCTCTCTGCAAGTATAGCACCTGCCTGGGCCCATCAAACCCCTGTCCTTCAGCAGCACCCTGCATGGATGTTGTTCCTGTCATTCAGCTCCAAAAAGGCACGCATTGGTCATTGCTGAACCCCGTGGCGCAGATATCCTGCCAGGCACTTAGCTGCAGATGAGACTGTTGGAGAAATGCATGGTGGACGTGCTGAATAGAAATAGATGAGCTAATTCTTTTTAAATTTCCATTTCTTCAAGATGCTCCTGTCCTGGATTGTGCCTTTAGAAGTGTGACACTTGTCGGTGCTGGTCACAGCCTGCTTCAGAACAGGCATTATCGGCCTTCAGTCAAGATGGTGGCGTTTAACTTGAAGGTGAGGATGTTTCATGGTCATATGAGAGTGAACTTCTGGTCTTTGAAGGAGATGGGTTTAAGATATGGTAGGGTGAGTCTTGTTTTAAAGTTGCTTCCCTTGTCTAGGTGATGGCTTCACTACCACACTGTACCTCAGGCCCAGAGGGCTTGCAGATGGAGGCCTTGTACATTGAACCTCTCCTCTGGCTTTCCTCTTTCTAGGATTTTCTCAGACTATTCTCTCCTCAGCACCTTTCCTTACCAAAGTGTGGTTTCTCTGCTTTATCTTTTGGGGTGTGAAGGCCATAAGCATAAGTGTACATATGTAAGGCTCAGAAATGTTGGAGCCTTGTTCGCTACCAGTTATAACTTGTTCAGTTAGTCTGTTTATCATAAAAGTAGTGCTAACCACAGACCTTGGCTTTGCCTTTCCGCAGAGCAGAGCTGTGGTTTAAAGATATTGCCAGTAAAAATGATGTTTTCTGCAGAATTGGTTTGAAGTGACCAGATGTCAAAGGTAACATGCAGCTTGCATAGAGGAGTGCTATAAGAGCCCACTTGAGGTCTCATTTGCAGACTTTAAGGGGGCATGCTAATGGAGTATGGATGTAAGGCTTTTTTAAATACAGTATTTAAACAATGGGCAAACAACTTTATGAGGTGCAGGAAGGCCTTCTGAGGTTACAGAGGGCTACTGGGATACTTGCTATGGGAGGACTTAAGCTGTGAACCTACTGTGCATCACTGAAAGGCCAGAATGATCCTGCTGGCCAAGTGGCTCTTTGAAACAGGGTACTGGGAAGCTTGTGTACCTTCAGTATCCTTCTGAAATTGACATCTCTCACTGAGTGCCTCTGCAGCTTTCATTGTATTTTAGTTCACAGTGTTACCCGTTTGCATTTTATTTTCTGCTCCATATGCACTTAGAGTAGTGTGCTTTTGTAACACTGAAATATGTTGTGCAATTTTATTGGCTTCAGACATTAAAAACTGCTGAAACTGAATCATTGTAGGCTACATCCTTTTTATATCTTTTGTAGTTCAAAGACAGTCATCTGTACTTAATGGTACAGACCTGGGCAAATTGCAGAACTGTCTTGGATTAAAATTTCTAGGTGGACAAAAGTGTATTCAGGCACTGTATCTGATAGCTGATATGCATGCTTCCATCACTCCTATCAAAATTGTTCAGATGCATTTCACCTTTTATAAGCATCTTAAGATACTCAATTATTTCCCTTTTTCAACTTCAGGTTGTGCCAATATTACATTCACAGTAAAGATGACAGAAACAAGAAAGACCTGTACAAGGGAGTTTCAAATACAAACTCGAGTACAGTGAATTGCATTTTGGCCTTTTCCCTGGACAATCTGCCTAGTTTAAAATGCCCTGCAGAAAAAAAGTATGAACAGAAGAACATTACCATTGCTTTGAATAATGCCATTGTTGGAAGAAGCTGTATAGCATCCCTGTAGATTAATTTTTAATTGTCCAAGAGTTCCAGTAACCGCTTAAATATATTGTTTTTTATTATAGGCTTTGGAGAATTTCCCATTGCTGATGTACATCTTGGCAGCTAAAACACTGATTCTTTGCTTAGCATTTGCTGGAGTTAAAATGTACCAGAGTAAAAAACTTGAAGAAAAATTGAAGAGGGAACGTGAAGCGAAATTGAAAAGAGAAGCAGAGAAGAAGGGTGATTAAAGGAATCTGTCAGGTATATAACTCATTTGACATTCTGGTATTTCATAGTGGCATTGCCATATTAATCCCCATTATGTTTTGGCTTCAGTACATTTGGGTTGTGTGGTTAGAAGTGTCACCATTATCTGAGTTATTCAGTATGTGTCTCCTGTGATGCTTCACTGTATTTGCATACCCATACCATGCCCATTCTTTGTAAGAAATGAAGTTAGTACCAGACAACTTGTCAGCCACTGTTTGGGGTTTCAGAGATCTTAGCACAATATTCTTTTTCTGTTCTTAATTTCCTTCAATTTTGTATGCCCAACCAGTTGCACAGAAAGTCCTGATACATAAAGAAATCATTAAAGTTGGGCAAAAACTGTGTGAGAGGCATGCCAGACAAGATGATGTAATAAGGTTCCTTGGCCATAAGTCACATTGAAAAGAATCTCCAATTCCATGTTAGTTAAATACATGACAAGTTGCTGATAGTTTAGCTTGAAGGGCCAAACCTCATGCTGTGAAGCTTCCCAAGGTAATAAAACTGCTTCAGGTTATACATCCATCATATATACTTCACTGAAAAAAAGTAGCTATCTACATTTAAAAAAAAAAAAAGGCAAAATGAACATTGAAAGTATAGTAAAGTTTTAGTTTTTCATTTGCCATGTGCTAAATTCCTTCCCAGTATCTTCAAAGTTTAAGCAATCATTGAATCAAGTCTGTTAGCAAAATGAGTGTGGTCTAGTGCTAAGATTATACTCCCGGAGTTTTTGGTGTGTGATTTATGTATCAATTCATTTCACATTTCTCTGTTCTGCAGCAAAATGGGAATTCTATTCCTGCTTGCCCTTTGTAAACTCAGTGGGAGTTCGCTATAACAATGTTGCACTTTATTAAACTAGAAAACTAACTTTCTCCTTTTGAGGTCATCACCTCCCATATGAAGATGGTTTCAGTTTTTAGAAATGTTTACTAGTTTTGATTTCAAACCTATCACTTTTGTTTCTTGCAACAGAGATTGGAAATTGTGACTAGAAATGGGGCCGGAAAATAACCATGGGAACAGAGTGTTTCATTCGCACAGGGAAAACAAGAAATACAGAGTTTTTCAGGCTCCTGTTTACATCATGTTGAGTATTTGTGCCTGTGCAGACTTGTGCCATTTTAAACTTTTATTTTAAATTGGTCCAGGTAGCCACTGGAACATGCTGTGAGAAGACTTCTTTCAGTTTATGCTGAATAGGTCAGAGTAAGTTATATAGTTTTAGTGCTAAACAAATGAGAGGTGGGCACAAGGGCAAGCTGCCCTGCAAGTGAGCAAGGCTGCTACTTTTAATGAGCAGACTTTACTGTGCTCTGTGTTAGGCCCCAGGGAGTTCTGCCTGGCAAAGGCTGTAGCCCGGGGGATTGCTGAACCAGGGTAAGGAGCTCATCCCACAAGACCTCGTGGTCTGGCATGTGAGATTGACCTTGTTGAATGACTGACATTAAAGCAAATCTGACTGAAGTCTTCTTAGTCACCCAGTGTGGCCCACCAGAGGCCAAGTCTTTCCTAAATTCTGCCATTTCTCGGACTGTCAGCACATCTTTCTATAATGGGATTGCAAGAAGGGGTGACTTCTCCTGCCCTAAAAATGTTCTCCCGTGTCAGCACTGCAGAGCTGTGATTAGCTCCGATTGCAGCCTGCCACGCGGGCAGGCAGATTTAGTCCATGTGCTGCTAGCATATCATGCCTGCTGTTCTCACTGCTGTTTCCCCACCCTGCAGATTCTGTGACACTTGGCAGCTTGCTTGGATTCCTTTCCTGGGAGAACGAAGGCTTCCTGTAGATGAAGGATGTGTCGAAGGAATAAAACCCTCCGGAGTAACATTCACTTAAATTGTATCTCAACTTTTTGTATGTACAGCAAAATATCTAAGCTTCTATTTATGCAATAAAGAAAACATTTGTATAAAGAAAAAAAAAAAAAAAAAAAAAAATGACCTTGGTTACTGCTTACTTAAATGCTACAGTTAGAGCTGCAGAGGAGGCACTTTTTAAAGATTAGCTGCAAGGAGGAGGCTGATTTTTAAAAAGAAAACACTGAATCCATCATGGGTGTATGCAGGGTTCATGGACAGACAGAAGGAATTGGGGAGGTCCCTGTGCAGCTTTTTCAAGCAACTGCAGGGGTACAGACATGAGGCTTATGGGCTCTCTGTTGAATTCAAATGAAAAAAGCAAAGATATGAACTTCTCAGGGTGGTCTTTTTCAAACCCCTTTCCATACCCAGCACTGACTTCAGTGTAAAGCAAATCATAGCATTGGTATGAAAATCTTTGTGGAAGTTTAATATGAGGAGGTTTCTTGTATTTTGCTTTGTTGCTGGAGACCATTGCTAGCCACTCCTGCATGTTCAATAACTTGAAGTCTTAAAGAGTAAGCACTCTCAGTCATGGTAGGTTAATCAACAGAATAGGTGGTTTGCACATAAACAAACCTTAGGAATGTGCAGCAGTGGTAACAGGTATATTTACCTTCACATTTCCTTTATAAAGCACTTCTAGATCCTTGTGTTTTCTGGAAGTGAAGGTGAATGTGAAATCTGGGTAGAGTGGAAAGAAGAAGACAGGAGAAAACTTGGAGAAGACTTGGGAGCCCAGAGGTTGTGGGAGGCCCCTGGGTTGGCTCGCTCCTGCCCTCTCCCTGTGGCTACAGGCTGAGGTGCCTGCTGTGGTCATGTAAGCGTGTACTGCTGCAGTGCGTGTGTCACAAGCATTATCTGGCAATGTGTGCAGCTGATACAGCTAATGCTCAGAGAGCTTTTAGTGCAGTGGAGTTACTCACCATGAACTGTGGTGATCTGTAAAATCTCACTGTTCATGCAATTGCCTTGGTGACCAGAGAATGTAAGTATTACAGAAGCCTGTTCCTGGAAGAGAACGCTATTTTTCCTATGGCAGCTTCAGGACAATGTATCTGACTGGAGAATTCTTAGTGTCGTTGCAAATCTGCAGTTTTCCCTCTACTGTCTCAGCAGTCATCTGTGTATGCAAACACGGAATTGAATTGTAATTTAATTAAATGGCTTTGTGGTGTTCAGTGAGAGCTGACTCTCCTAACCACTTCCATTAAACAGCTATTGAGGGAAACACACCAAGAAGTTTAGCTTAGCCACATACCCAGACTGTACGAGGAAATTGTCAGGGCTGCACGGTGTCTACCAGCATGAGAAGTAAGTAATGTGTTGACTCCGTGCAGTCTGGGATTGCCTTTAAGTATTGGCCTCACTTTTGATTTTTTTGGAGTCTCAGCCAATAGTAGATTTCTCTAGACCAATAGTTAGAATGTGTTATTAATTGGAAGTGACGGATTCTCCCTTTCAGTACAGCTACTCTGTAAGCAGAATCAAAAGGACATGATCTCCCATTAAAGCAAGTCATATTGCGTCAAAGCAATTGAGCTTCATTTATCACCCAAAGAAATGAAGACTTGTGTTAAAGCCTGAGGGGGACATAGTTTGCTAAATGTGTGCAAGAAAGCAATTAACATAAGTAGTCCTTTTTTTGTTGCTGAATTGAACATGGGCAAAAAGCAGCTGTGAGTCTCCTCAGAAGTCCTCTACATCACCAGCTCTTTGCATCTACAGATAGCTCAGAAAAACTCTTTGTATATTTACTTCAAATTTGGTCCAGTCTGGCTGTTTTTTTTCCCTTAGCTCTGGAGTAGCGCTATGGCATAGAAAACCCCTGGGGGTTGTAATGGGTCTCACAGCAGGCTGATATTCTGGAGGTTCCAAAATACGATACCAAACCTGTTCCCAAATCTGAACCAATTTCTCTTCTTCAGTGTATCTGGGTGGATGTTTGATCTATGCTTTGAAGGCCATCTAGGAAGGAGAACACACCTGTATTTTCCTTCACTGAGTAAGTTGCAGGCAGGTCTCTTTACCCTTGGGCATTTTATGTGCCACAGTAGCAGCCTTGAAGACGAAAATATGCTGACACTGGGGGGAGACAGCAGCTCAAATTTGTTTCACTTTTCTGTTCAGAAGAGAGCTGAGGACCTCGAAACTTGTTTCTTTTTTTACTGAAGGAAGAGTTATGTGACTAGTCCAGACCAATTTAAAAGAGGAATAGAGAATTTGATTCTATTGAGTTTCTGCAACTGAGAGGAAGCAGCAAGAAGAGCCTTGAAGTGCACAGCAGGGAATAAACAGGGTTCCCTTGTAGATGTTCCTAACCCAGAAAGCAAGCCAGGTCACATTCTTTTTGTGCCTACAGAACTACAAATTCACTACTTCTTTGCCTGTTCCACTAAATTATGCCCTTTTAAAAGGGCACTCATGTTGTACAGACTGGCAACTTAACCTTAGCCAGCACCTCATTTGCACAGGCCTTTGACTGTTGGATGTTGTTACTGTCGCTACTGCCAAGTGTTAAAGATGGCTGAGAAATGGTTTAAACTTCTAGCGTTTGCACCTTTAGGTTTTCTTCTGACATGAAGGCCGTGTGTTTTTAAACAAAAGATGAAATCATTGCATAGTAATAAAGAAATTTTCAGAATTTTAAGGAAACCTTAAACATGGAACAGATTTCTAGAGGACATAAGTGGCTGCTAGAATAGGGCTCTTAAGCTTAAGGGAGCAGGGTGGCTGTGAGGTGGCTGTAGTCCTTGAAGTAAGGTGAACAAGTATTCAATGGGACTGTTTTCTTATTACCTATGTTAGACATTCTTTAAAAGTAAGTCAGCTTGATTTTAGTGCCACTTAACACTTTCAGTCTGAAGGCCATGAGTCTTTCACCCAAAATGCAACATCAGTGGTGCTGGGGGAGACAGAACTTTCTCAAGCAGTGCCCAGGAGCAGGAGAGGTCGCTGTCCTGCTTGCTGTCTAAAAGCAAGGCAAGACTAGGGCTATTTCCTCAGTGTCATGTGGAGTTCCTTGTTTCTGTGCTAGGTCTAGTGGGTACAGCTCATGCACAGTGGCAGAACCTACCATACTGATAAAGCCATACAATGCCTACTTAAAATTTGGCATGCCAACTAAGAAAACTGCACTGATCTCAAGCAATTCTGCTGCAAGTCAGTGAGCTAAATAATTTTCAGGTGTCAGAGTACCAGCTCCAAGAACCCTTTGCTGTATTTCCTTCCTCAGTTTTCCTCTTGGGGATCAGCTATGCCAGCTGTTTTGTATTGCCTTTCTTACTGAAGGCACCGTGAATTCTCTGGCTTTGAATCCTTTGCAGTTTTCCTTGGATCCCAACTCTTGTTTGTGACACACAGACGGTGTCTCTACTAATCTGTTGACTCTCAACCTACCCTGTCCAAAGAGGAGCATTGCTACCCATTCACATCACCCTTTCTAGCTCAAACATGGAAGAAATCTGTAGATTAGGCAGACTGATGCCTCTCTAATTTCACAAAATCCTAGAAAACCTTGGGTTGGAAAGTGACTTTAATCTAGTTCCCCTCCTTGCCACCAGATCAGGCTGCCCATAGGCCTCATCCAACCTGGCCCTGAATGCCTCTGAAGATGGGGATTCAGCCTTCACCAGGCCCAGTTTCACAGCGTCTCCAGACCTGCTTCCAAAGACACATCTGTCATCTACTTGTTGCATCCTCTCCCTACTTATTAACTGCTTACAACCCTCCATCTTCAAGTTTAGGGAGATGGTAGAACTCACGTAAAGAACCTGATTGCCCTGTGGTAGCACGGTGTCTGTCACACTCCTGATCACATGGAAAATAAACAGGCAGTGTGGCCATGTGAGTGTAAACTCTGCCGCATTCGTGTATGGAGACAGTTCAGATAAAATTTCTGGAACCTGTGTTTACATCCGTCTCAGAAAGGTGCCAGAAGCCATTTTCAGATGGGACAGCTATAAGCTGCCACCTGGTTTGGGGACTCAGTGGTGGCTGCATGCTTTGCAACGGTGCACATCATTCCACAGCTTGGCTTTAACTATTCAAGCTGATTCATCTTGGCTACCAAAGCAGGCTCAGTGTACCATCTAGGCTCATCTGGACCTTGACTGGCATATGTGTGTATCAAACTTCTATCATGGGTATAATCAGAGTACCAGCTGCTCCTTTTCCATGTTGTGATAGGGATACCTGATAGCGGCCAGAATAGTTATCCCCATAGTAATGGATTCCTCATATGTTCCTGTAGAGAAAAGAATTGTTTGGGCACAAATAAGTGATTAAGCATGTATTCATGTGCATCTCCATATGGCATCAATTTCTCCCTCTTTGAGTCTGATAAAAGAGCTATTGAAAATGTCTGTGTGTAATATCATCAAAGGCTGTGCCTCTCTTTGAGATTAGTTCCAATCTGACCAAAGACTTTTGAGATGGCTGTCATAGAGCAAAGAATGTACATGGTTGCTTCCTTTTAGTCACTGCAGACACAATATAGATGACTGTCTTTTTTTTACTAATCTTTTTTGTTTTGGCAGGTTTGTTCTGTTTGTATGGCATTTTCCAAGGTCCGTGACTCTTTTGATTTACTATGAGTCATATTCCTCTGGCCTTATCACTGATTAGCAGAAGTTTAGTGCTACCCAACTAGAAATGTCAGGCACTGTCAGTTAAGAGGTGTTTAAGTCATATAAATAAGCTTTGTGTGTATTTGCCTTCTAAAGCAGTTTTTTTTTCCATGGTTTTTCTTACATGGAATGTTGTCGCTGCATTCTTCCTCCTTTCTTTGTGTCCCACCATTATTACATCCTCCACATGGGATGGAGTCTAAGGGCCTCCTTAGACTCTTGGCCTAAAAGCATCTGCCCTGTCAGCGTTCTGGGTTGCAGCATGCTACTAGTACAGTGGACTTATAAAACTGCGTTAAGCTAATCCTTGCAGGCCTGCTTCATAGACTAGAAGAAAATAGATGTTTTTTTTCCATGAAGATGAGTCTTGGAAAAGCATTTAGAAGTAATTAGTCAATGAGACATCATGAAAATGCAGGTGAT